TTTTATTTATTTATTCAGTCACTATTTGCAATAGTATGCACTCATGGTTATTTTTGTCTTTGTGCTGTTATTTGTCACTCAAATTGTTGCAGCCTTGGCCATCTGGAGCTCTTATAGGTTGGTTGGCTCCTGTGTCCTTTTGACATGACCTTATTCTTTTGTTGGTTTAGCACTTTTTAACTTTCTGGCATCACAAGATGTTCCAGGCTCATCTTGTACCTTACCTGCTGCAGCCCTAGAATCAACCACTTCTTTAAAAATCCCTAGTTACTTTTCTAGGCTTTTTATGTATCATCAAATTAATTACCTGCCTAATTTATGTTATACAACAAATAATTCAACGTATTTTCTTTTGTACCTGCACGTTATGTTTATATTTTTATATAGTAATTACCTAGTTGTGTGCTATGTGGAGTGTACAAGCGTGCATATGAAAGAAGAGGTTTATAGAGCTTTAGGTCTGCTGTCAGCTGGTAGTTAATCTTGTTTCCCTTAAGCCTTCCTGTCTCAACATCTTTGTCTTTTTTGTTTGGCTAGTTATTAAAGACATTTACTGATTTATTGTGCACCAGCGATGTTTGGTGCACTATGACAGAAAACGAAGTGTCTTAAGGGAAGGGAATTTTTCTCTCTCATTCTATTCCATGCCCCATCACAGTGCTTCTGTTTAATAAGCATCAGTAAATGCGATTTGAATGAAAGCCTGAATCCTGGTCCCAGATACTTTCTTAGCTTTATTTTTCGTGAATTCCCTCTTATATATTCTTTCTTTTGCCTGTTCCAGCCTACTAGTTGTCCCTGGAAATAAACATTTTGATTTCTTTCTTGCTTTTGTTTTTCTCTTACTTGTTTTGGACTTTCTCTCTTTTGTCCTTTTTCTAGTTGGCATTATCCTGTTTATACTTTCAGCTCATATATTACCTCTCTTCTTTCTATAGAATTAATCTCTTTTGTATTTCCATATACTTTATTAATAACAGTATTATAGAACTTAAAGATTTTGTTCAGAGATCTTGTTTCATTAGTTTTTGTTTCTGTACTCATACTCAAATGATAGCTGCTTTTATTATTTTCTGTATGCCAGGCACTATATACTAAAGTGCCTTATATTATTATCTACTTAAGTCACACAACAGTCTTATGAAGCAAGTACTGTTACTGTCTGAATTTTAAAGGTAAGAAAACTGAAGCTTAGAGAAGTAACTTTTTCAGAGTTTCTCAGCTAGTGAATGGAAGAGCCAAGATTTGGTACCAGACTTGGTAGATTTGGATATTTCAAGCTCGTGTCTGTCTATTTATTTATTTATCAATTACAGTTGACATACAATATTATATTAGTTTCAGGTATACAACCTAATGATTAGACATTTATATAACTTACAGAGTGATCACCCTGATAAGTCTAGTACCCATCTGACAATATACATAGTTATTACGGTATTATTGACTATATTTCCTGTGTCAAAGCTCATGTCTTAACCAATACACAAGGCCTGTAATTTTTCAAACACTGCATGAATATTTATTGAATTCAGTTTGCCAGGATAAACTTTCTCTTAACCGGCTGACTCAGTCAGTATGAGAAATGATTGTTAAAAGCAAGAGTCCACTCTTAATAGAATATTTCAGTGGAGAAATATGTAATAAAATTTAACCCATGAATCAAGAAACATCAGCAAGTAGTAATAACCCATCTAAGCTGTGTTTTTAGGCTTTACCACTAAGCACTAATGTTCATAGATTCCTTTTATTGAGATTTGGGATGAAGGAAGACTCGGATATTTGATAAACCTGTTTAGCATTGGGAACACATTCTGATTAGGGAGTAGAAATGCTCAAAATTTGGATAAATAGCTTAGAAAGTCCATCAAGAATTCCTGGGTCTATATCATTGGTTATAAACCTACATACCTGCAGGGGCCAGACAGGTGACAAGCGAGTAAAGCAAAAAAGGTACAACTGAAGAGTGCATGTCTAATGTGAAGAGGTTATGTCTCATCTATGTAGGGCAACTGTGCTCTAGTCACTTGTTGCCCTTTAGGGCACATGGCAGATATTACGATTTTTTTCCCCTAGAAAAGTCAGAAATCTGTATTTTATGTATGATTTCCCAATTTTTTAATGTTAACTAATTTAATGTTAACTAATACTGTGTAGGCCAAATATAAGTCTGTTGGTTGGGTTCAGCCTATGGACTACTAATTTGCAATCTCTGGTCTAGATTAAATTCTCTTTTCAGCTTATTTAATCTTTCATTTATTAATTTGAAAAGGATTTATTTACTATATACTCTTGTGAGCAGTATTTTAGGCTTCAGCAGTACTAAGAAACTTAGCACAGGGCCCCTAAGGAAGCTTATAATCTATACTGAATAAGGGGGATACATATAAACAAGTAAAAAGCTCTGTAAGCTATATAAAAAGCTCTGTAACAGAGAAATATAGAATGCTGTGCTAGAGTTGACTAATTGGAAACACCTATTGTATGTAAGTCATAAAAATATCCAGTATATATGTGACCAAGTAAAAAGTTTAAACAAAGGATGTAGTTAATTGCTGTAAGTTTAGAAGAACTTATGGGAAGTGTGATGAGGTTTTAAAGTGAGTGGCACCAGGACTGAGTGCTGTGAGACTACAAGGAAGGGAAGCATTAGAAAACCACTGAGGAAATGGTATTTAGCTATATTTTGAAGAAGCCTAAGGTTTGAGGAGGTCTTTTTAATAGCTCCTAGGAAATAGTTGGTTATCGGGGTTCTTAGTAGAGAGCAGAAGAGTTGAGATGGAACCAGAATGTAGAGATCCCATGAATATATGAATGCTAAGCTTAAGAGCTTGGTCTGACTTTGAATAGTACATAAAGTTTGATTATATAGCTCATTTACCTGTCTGACCACAGCTTCTGCTGAAGTGTAAATCCACCTGAGAGTGTCAGATCCAGTCTGCTGAATTTCTTGTTGCTGGCCAGCCCAAGTCATGGTCTGAAACTGGATTAGAGAAAAGTGATACAGTTTCAACTGCAAGGTGCTCCATTTAGATATAATGAAGAAAGAAGTAAAAGAGAAGAAATAGGAATAGGTAGAGAAGGATTGTGTTGCTTTTAGAACTAGAAAACACACCAGAGAGATTATCTGGTCCATTCTGTTGCTTTAGGCAGACCTTAATGTTTCCAGAGATTGCTGCTTAATAATTATTCTTTTTAAAAAGTTTCTTCCACACCATTAGGTACCTAGAACTTGCCATGATCACCTTTAGATTTATTTTTGTAAGCATAGAAATGTTTTGAGCATTTCAAATGGAGACAAATGGAAACTGGTTTTTCTCTTCCTTTGTTGAGGTTCTAGCTTTCTTTTCAGGGTTTACTTCCCATTCATTGTCCTTAGATTTGTTTAGCACACTCCTGCAATCTGTGCTCACTATATCTTCTTTAGGTATAGAGGAGATGAGTTAGGGGAAAATGGGAGGTCATTTAGTATTTGTGAAGTTAGTTTGTATTGGTTGAAGGAGGGTGGAAGAAAGATCCTAAAGTAATTGTGAACCACCTTCCCAGAAATGGAGAGGCACTAAAGTCACCCAGAGGATAAAATGTCATGGTCACTCAAAAGGATTCAAATAGAATTTTAAAATGTAGATAAAACTCCCTTTTATTTTGTGCCAGGGCATTGAAGAGAGATTACATATTAAAAATTAAAAATAACTCTTTGAATATTCCATAAGAATTTAAAAACACTCTTTGAATTTTCCATTATTGAATGATTTTGTAATCTGAACTACAGGAAAAGGAATTAAAATTTTTGTGCTATTCACTTTACTAAAGAAAATTAATGTGTTACTGGAGTATAGGGTAATAA